TGTTTGGAGTAACACATCAGCATGTTTGAACTTCTCTGATGCTGCAGTCTCAGCTATTGAAGGAGATAGCACTCAAGTATATAAAGTGCATGTCTTTATTAGATTATAAAACCAATTTTTAAAAATCTATTTTGGACTGATACAAATAATACGTAAGTTTCAATGTTATTTTATCACAGGAAAAACAATTGCAGTTATCAACTGCGATCGTTTTATGGTCATAAAGTGAAGAAGATGATTAACAGTGAGGTGGCTGTATTGCTTTTTATATTTATAATAGTCTCTCTGGCAGTGGATGGAGCTGGTAAAATAAATAACTCCATCATTAGTTCCTGTAATTGTCATTTTGTTTCTAGTCATAACAGTACCTCCAGCACCAGTAACAGTTCCTCCTTTTACAACAGCAACATTTACTTGTGAAGGAACTGGTGATGTACTGAACTGGTTGGTTCAAAGTGCTGTACTGACTGGCTCCATTGCACAACAAAGACAAATAACAGTCACTACTACCACTGTTAACAATACTATCTTCTTATCAGTACTGACTGTTAATGCTATACCTGATAATGATGGACTGGGAATTGGCTGTGAAGTTATTTCTTATAATCTCTCAAATCCTTTTAATCCTTTTGATCGTGTGATATCAAACAGTGAGCTAACTATCAGAGGTAAGTTTAGTATAAAATCATGCTTTTAATATTCTATAAATTATTATAGGTGTATCATCTGTTGAAGATCTTCTCTTTAACTTTTCCTCAACTAACTCACTGATCATAACATGGTCACCTCCTGTTTACTTTTCAAATGATATTCCCATTGACTCTCCTGTCAGTTATGAAATACAAGTCATTATTGGTGATGAAAGATCCATTGAAGACACAATTACAACAAATACAAATATTGTTGAAGTTTACAATATCACTCAATGTGATACATTTAGTGTCAGTGTAACTGCACATGTTGATCAGTACACATCAAATAATGAAACCAAAGAGAATTATGAAAGTAAATTTAAGTTCAGGCATCAATAATGCTATTTTTCAATAGATTGCAGCATTGAAATTCAGAAAGTTTTTCAGACATTTGATGAAGCTATTATATTTTTCAAAGTAATGAATCAATTATTTTAAAACATAAATTTAATAAAACAATAGATAAAATGCTCACCCTTGCTATGCAGTAAGATTATATTGGTTGAAGTTTTGTATGATGACAACATTTACTCAAAAAATGTTCATTTTTTTGAGGAAACTTCAAACCAGATTGATTGCCTAGCTATGAACTATTCAGCAGCAAACTTGTTACCATTTCAACACTATCAACTTGTGCTTAAATTGTTGAGTTTAATGATGGTTAATGAAGATCAGGATATCAAATTTATCTGTAAGCATGTACTTTTACAGAAAAATGTCATTGTAATTTCCTTAAGCTACATATAATGTACAAGATGTGCTAGTATCTACTGAAGGGAATGGATCAGTTAGTGTACAGTGTGTGTTTGTACCAGGATCAACTGCTGATGGATGTCATGTGATATTTACTGACACTAGTAATGGAAGGAATGAATACTTTAATATAACTGGATCAGATAATAGTGCACTGGTAACATTATCAATTAGTGGTAATTACTCACTGACAATTTATGATCTTGTCAATGGGTCATTATTTGGACCTGCACTGTGCTATTCCACACTAGTTGAGGTTTTAATTATTACCATACCAGTACCATCACTTTCAAGTATACCTACTAGCAGGACCAATGGTAATACTGGCATTAATATCATTTTATAATTCCTTCATTTAGACTGGAGTATAATGAGTGAAACAGTCTCATCACCTTCAACATCAGGTATAATTCTATATTGATGCATAAAGTTACAGATTATGTGTCATTTTTGCAGTGCATGCTACAATTTTATCACCAGAAAGCAATAGATTGCTGCCTATTATCTTTTCAGCATTGGGTGCAGTTATTTTTGTGATTGTTGCTGTACTAATTGCTACTACTGCTTTTTGCATGAGACAAAAAAAGAGAAATGCAGGTATATTATTAAATTCTTTTATATCTACGGGTCAACAACTTGACTGTGGATGCTCACACACTCTAATTATGTATAATTTTAGTAACTAAAGAAGTTGAAAAAGAAGTAATCAATAATATTAACCCAGCATATGGACAAGGTTTGTAGGCCTAGCTATTTCAAAAAAATTAGTATCTATACATATTGATTGCACTTTTTCATAGTTTTACAGGTGGAAAATCAGAGGCCTATTGTCAAAACTGATGTTAATCCTGCCTATGAGACACTTACAGCCAAACACAACCACATGGATTATGAAACTGTTTGGTAGATTAGATCTACAGTTGTTCACGTCACTAATTTACGTCACTAATACGTCACTTATTTGTGTTAGATAGACGTCATTTTTAGTTAACTTAACTCACGTGATTAGATCTATAGGCGCTAGGCGTTAACGATTTAACATACGTCGTTACCTCCTCATTAGCGCAACTCTAAGCTGCCTTATCTTTGATCTCTTCCAGTCATCCTATTCCGTGATGGCAAAAAAGACACTCATCTCTTTTATTATCATGGGCCTCATAATTTATGGAACTAAAGCTGCCGGTGAGTGCACTATTGTAACATAGATATAGACAAAAATAATTTTACAATTTTGTAGTTCGGGCGTTTATATATATAATATTGTTATTGTTGTTGAGAGAGAAGCGTGATTGAGTTATGATGATTATTTTATCTGACCATAGTTTTGCTAGTGCAGATCCTTTAGGGCCTGGTGCAATGTCCACCAACCAGACTGACCCACAGCATTTTTTTCTGTCAATATTTTATTTGCCTCATTAATGCTGTTTCACAGTATTACTCTAGTCCTGATGTTACGTTGACACTGGAATAGAATTTGGTTTTATTGGCCTAGCGTCATATTGTAAACCTGCCTTTATACATAACAACTCTCACATGAATAGAATACTATTATACTGTATTGTATGGATACAAAATAGACTACCGTATAAGTGGGTTTTTTAGGTTGCAAATTTTGTAAATTTTGCGGAATCCATCCTGATTTGGGAAAATAAAATCAGTGAAAATCAATTTAATACAGTATCCTCATGGCACACGTGGTAGAATTTGCAAAATTAAAATCCGCGAATTGGAATTTTAGTAGATTTTGAGAAATATAATTCCCTCGAAACAAACCACTTATACGATATGTCATGAAGTGCAAAAGGTATAGACCACCCGTGAATAGAAAAGTTAATTGGAAAAGTTATGAATTTCATTAATTTTATATA